AAATATATATACATATATACCTGACTTAGTCTTGTTTCGAATTGATCACAATACACATGTATGTACGTACTCCACATACATTGTAGTTATTACTAAAATAAGGTGAACTTGCGGGGGAAAGGGCTGTGGTGGTTGCAAGGGGTAGCCCCTCTCCCATCCGCCACATCCCCACCCCCCTGTTCAGTCTCAACAATCTAAACGGAGAATATCTCCGCTCGCCCCACACATTTACAACAGTCACTCGCCTAGACTAGCTTCAGCGGCGACAACGTTGACACAAAGCACATAATTTCATAATAATAAATAACTGTACAGGTGCTCTTGGTTTGGTCAGCTGTCTCACACACGCATACACGCATCTCTTTCACACACACACGCACACACACTCAGTTCTAAGGCTAACAGCTACACTTGTGTCGCCAGTAAGCCGTCGTGGTGATGCCTGTTTATAACAAACACCGACGACGCTCCTGACTTAGGTGGTGTACCCGACGTGCATGATGAGGGCGGCGACGATGAGTACGCCCCACACGATTCCTTCTCCTCGAGTGGTCGCTTTGACGGCGACGTTTCACTGCAAACACAGAGAGAAAAGGCCAACGTTAGTCCATGTCATTACAGGGTCGGCGCCAGTCCTGAGGGGAGCAGCTTTAGTTCCAGTATACAAGAGTGAAATGATGAGATGCTTACCTCGCACTACATAACGACGACCAGTCCACGGAGGGCACCGCCGATATCCTCTTTGGTAGTTGTGGCGGCGTCACTTGCATGACGCTCCTCGGCCGGCCGGAAGGCGTGGTCGAGGGGTCCAGCTCCTTGTCCAGCTTGGCGATGGACGCGGAGAGGAGCGACGCCCGGGTCGTGTTGAGCTGCTTGTGCTGCAGCGTGTACACGGGGACGGGCACGGGAGCGTCTACCTGGGACTGCTTGCTACCGTAGCAGTCCCCGGAGAGGGGCCCCGAGTGCGAGTCCACGACGTCCGGGATGTCGCCCAGCACGTTGTTGACGCACTTGCTGCCCCACGAGTTCTTGATCATGTGCGCGTCGCCCCCCGGCCGCTGGTGCTTGAGCCCCGCGAGCCCGGCGAGGGAGCCGAGCGCGCCGAGGCCGCCGAGGCCACCGAGCCCCGTCTGGCACGCGTTCACTTCGTTCTGCATGCGGGCCTCCTCGTCGGCCAGCTGCTGCTCCCGTTTCCGCCGCTGCTTGAGGCAGAACACGACGATGACGGCCACGGCGAGGAGCACGGGGAAGGCGACGGACAACGTGATGATCATGACCACGTACTCCTCGCTGAGCCCAGCCTGCTGCTCCAGCGAGGCCACGTGCCGCGACACGTTGCCGTTGATGGCGGTGGCGTTGGCCTCCTCGGAGCACGTCCTGCCGGTGAGGCCGGGCGGGCAGCGGCAGTGGAAGGTGGCGACGCGGTTCTCGCAGGTCCCGCCGTTCTGGCAGGGCGTCGACGCGCACTCGTCCACCTCGACGGAGCAGTCCTTGCCGGCGAAGCCCGGGCGGCAGTTGCAGCGGTAGTCGTTGATGAGCACGACGCAGGAGCCGCCGTTGGCGCAAGGCTTGGCGAGGCAGTAGTCCACCTTGCTCTGGCACAGCGAGCCGACGTAGCCGGGCACACACTGACACCGGAAGCGGTTCACGAGATCGACGCAGGTGCCGCCGTTGAGGCAGGGGTCGTTGACGCAGTCGTCCACGTTGGTCTCGCAGCGCTCGCCGGAGAAGCCGGGCGGGCAGTTGCACTCGAAGCCGTTGACACGGTCGACGCACGACCCGCCGTTCTCGCAGGGGTTGGGCGCGCAGTCGTCCACCTGGTGCTCGCAGTCGACGCCGCTGAAGCCGGGCGGGCAGCGGCAGGTGTAGCCGCCGGCCGCGTCGTCCTGGCAGGTGCCGCCGTGGCGGCAGGGCCGGTCCTCGCAGGTCTGCGCCGACGTCTCGCAGTGGCGCCCGTGCCAGCCCTTGGGGCACTCGCAGCGCGCGCCCTGGCCGCTCTGGTCCACGCAGGAGCCGCCGTTGCGACACGGCGTGTGGGTGCAGTCGTCCAGCTCGCGCTCGCAGTCGGTGCCGGTGAAGCCGGGCGGGCACGAGCACGTGTACGAGCCCTGGCCCGTGTTGAAGCAGGTGCCGTTGTTCCGGCACGGCCGGTGGTTGGTGCAGTAGTTGAGGTCCTGGTTGCAGAACAGGCCGCCCCAGCCCTCGTCGCAGAGGCAGTCCCAGGGCTTGGCGCACGTGCCGTGCAGGCAGCCCGGGTAGCGCTCGCACTCGTCGCAGAGAGCGCCCTTCCAGCCCGGGTGACACCTGGAACAAGACAAGGAGGGGCGTGCGTTAGGATCATCCGGCCTCGTGAGAACTGCAGCAGCAGCAGCGCCGCCGGGGCGCAGTTCGGGGAAGAGTGTCGCGGCCGGACGCCACCCACGAGCCAAAACGGCAGCGGCGATATCAAACATGACCGGCGGAGAAAGAGTAAAAGCAAAGGGAGGCCCGGGTAAACTGGGCGCAAAAGCGACCGAGAAAAGGAGAGAGAGAGAGAGAGCCCATGAGGGGGAGTCGATCCCTGCCGTCCCGTCCCACGCCGCGACGCTCATACACCTGCAGCAGGAGGTAGCAGACGCGCGGAGGGGAGAGCGAGAGAGACGGCCCCAGCGAGCGGCGCAGCGGGCAGGGGAGGGGGGCGCCGGGGCCCCCGGTGGAGGGGCCCAAGGAGGGGCCCAGCGCGGCCCGGCTGGGGAGAGAGAGGAGGAGGAGAGGGGAGAGCGTCCCGTTCCCACGGCTGGGCTCTACTCGGGCGGGCCGGGCGCTGCCGCTGCTGCAGGCCGGGAGGAATGCGCGCACCGGGTCAACAGTCAGCTGTGACTCGACTCTTCGGCGAGGAAGAGCAGCACGGGGAGGAAGGACATGCCCCGGCACCTCCGCGACACGCGAGCAGGACGGCTTCATATCCGGCCAGCGACTCGAGCCCGCGAGCAGCGCGCGGCGCGTCGGGGCGACACTGGCGATCGTGCGCCGCATCGCCGATCGCCGCGGGGGCGGCCGCGAGCGAGGGGGGCGGCCCGCCCGCGGGACCAGCAGCGTCCCCGCCGCCCCGCCGCGGTTAGTCCCCGGGGGCGCGCGCCTGACCCCAGTAACCAGCAGCCGACCCCGCCGCGGCCGCGGCCTGACGGGCTCCCTGCCTGACCCGATGGCCCGACTCTCACACCTCGGCGACCGCGGGCCGAACGGGTCGGGGCCTCGGCCCACACCGCGGCGACCGCAGAGAACACTACCCGAACTGTACACTGAACTACACTGAATAAAATAATATACTCACTTGCACTCGAAGGGGTGACTGCAGTAGCCGTGGGTCTCGTCGCAACCGGGCGCACAGACAGCTGAAACAAGAGAGAGGGAACAAGTTAGTCAACACGCCACACGAAATAAAACAGCAGCAGCAGTCACAACTGCAGCGAGCGGCGCCGGTCACAGCTAATAGGCATTAGCGCAATACGCCCCGTAATAACATGTTCTCCGAATCACGAGGAGCGGCGCGGAGGGGACGGGACGGACGGACAGCAGTGGAAGCCGAGGCGGGCGGCGCTTCAAATTGAATGAGAACATTAGGCCGCGCCAGCCGCGCCCGGGGCTAGACGGCCACGGCAGCGGCAGCGGCGGCGGGCCTGGGCCACGCGGCCGGCGGGGAGGGGCCCCGGCCCCCGCCAGACACGACAGGACACGGCGTCAAATTAGTTCATTTTGTAGCTCCGCGCCTCGGCCGAGCCGGGGCCGGGCAGGCCGCGCCTCGCACCAGGGCGACAATCAATTCACGTGCCCGGAGGAAAAGGGGGGGGGGGAGACCGGAAGTACGACGGGAGGGGACACACACACGGGACGGGGGACTCGAGGGGTGGAAAAGGCAGGGGAAAAAAGTAAGAGGAGAATCTCGAAAAAGCTGGCTGGCCGGGGTGCTGAGCGAGCAGGAGAGGAGAAGGGTGTCTTTGGCATGCACCGGCCCGTCATGGGGCGTGGCGGGGTGGGGAGGGAGGCACATGCCGAGCGGCAAGGGCGCAAGCACCTCTCACACACGGCGGTGCGGCGGCGGAGGAGGAGGTGGAGGAGAGGCGACGAACGGAAGTAGCCGGCGTTCTCCCTAAGCACCCACTTCCGATGCGACACCGCGCCAGAAGGGACGAAGAAAAAAAAAATTTCGAAAAAAAATTTAAGCAGGAGAGATGATAATCTGCTACTACTTTGGCCAAGACTAGTCCGACCTGCACGCTGCGCTGCAGCAGCGCCGGCCGCGCGCCGCGCCATGGCGCATTTGCAAGAGGTCGAGGCGGGTATCGCTTTAGGTCGAGACAAGTCCTGGATCCTCCACACATTCCAGCCGTATATACACCACCACCACCACCGCGGTACGGCGCGGCGCAGCACTGCTGCAGCGGCCAGCTCACACACACACAGATACAGAACCACACTTGCAAGCTGGTCGGCACAACTTGCTGCCTCGGCGGCGGCGGCTCGGCGGTCAGCGCATCCAATTGGCAACCATGCCGATCTGACCCCACCATACACTAAGCCCCGCCACGGCCAGAGGAAGCAGCAGCAGGCGCCTATAAAACCCTTTACCAAACCCGTCGCGCCCTCCCCCGCCGCGCCCCACCCGCCCCGCCAGATAGATAGCGCGGGGCTCTCCAACCTGTCCGGACAGCAGTCCCGCCGCACGCAGCCATGCGCCGCGACCGGTAATCGTCTGCCTAATGGTTTTACGAATGGCCAAGGCGTAGGAGCTGAGCTATCTTGCCTCTGCCTGCAGTTGCCTTTGCGCTGCGCTGCCTTCAATAATAATTATCGCACCGCAGCGCCACGCCGAGCAGGACGACGGAACGACCAAAAATTAATAATCATGATTATTTGGTCGCGGCAGGTCGCGTCCGACGCCGCCCGCCCCTCCCCGCCTGTTCCATTTCATTTTGCGCCATTGTTCTCCTTGCGGCGCTCCCTCCGGGCGGCGGCAGCAGCGGCAGTCAGTCCCTCCTGCGCCCAGCCCACCACCACCCCCGTCCAGCAGTCCACCAACAAGTCGCCAAAACTGCCATCATTGAAATAAAAACACAAACGGAGGGCTTCTCCCTGTGGCCGGACGGACGCGCAGTCCAGGCATTCTAAACCTAATGACAAGCACAGGCCATTTGTCCGTCAGCGCGACCTGTGCTGCTGGAGGAAGGGAGAGGGGGGGGGGGGGGACACCCGCAGCCCAAAACGCCTTTCCACAAAACCAAAACCGGGCGAAAAAGGACGACAAAGAGTTGGCGCGCGGAGGGACCGTGCGCGTCCATAACTGCATTTCCGAAATGCCGCGCGGCCGAAATGTTTTTGATTGTGAAATGAAGGGCCCAGCCAAAAGAGAGAACTTAGTCCAAAAAAAAGGGGCAAAACAAAAAATAAAATGAAACCGTACGAAAGCGACCAGGCAGGTGGCGAGCCGGGGGCTTACAATCGACCGTCGGAAGACAAAAGATAAAAGAGCCGCGAAAAATTGACCGAGGTGATGTGCGAATTTGGATCGAACGCGGCTTGAACCAGGTTTTTGCCCCCAACTAGAGATGGGCACTTTATGCGAAAAAAAACTTAAAATTATGCGCTGAAATTTGGCTTGATTATGCGATAATTATTCTTTGGAAATATGGCAATTATGCGCCCATAATTCGCTAAACTGAGCACTTTTATGCGAAAAATGTGTGAAAAATGTTTAAAAATCGCGCCCAAATTCCCGCACTGTGCGAAAAAGTTCAAAATTTAACATTTCTTTGGCTAAAACTACGTTTATCCAGTTCTTTAACAAAAATGTCTTAAATAGGGTGGTTGCTTTGACCCAGTGGAGCTAACAGGTGTACGAACCAAAATTTGGTGTACAGGTAAGATGCCTTTTCGCTTGCTGGAAAACCCTCCTTTGGACAGCGCAAAGGAAGAAAAATCAGTTATTTCCTTCAAAAGACCCACGTTTTTATTAAAACAAACAGTTAAAACACGACAAAAAGTCTAAAATCTTGATAAATTTGCAGTAATTTCGCTATTTTGTTGGTGGAAAATGCGAATTATGCGCGTATAATGCAAAAAAAACGTTATGCGGGGAAAAATGCCAAATTATGCGAAATTATGCGGGCTGGAAATGCACTGTACAATGGTCCATTAACATTAAAAAGTTGATATCTTTCCATTTTGAACGATTCTAAAACATTATGCGAAATATGTGATCGCATAAAGTGACCATCTCTACCCCCAACGCGTGTCGTCCCCAGGTATGTGCGTGTGTCCGTCCGCGCGCGCGCCCCTTGAGTGGGTATGTGTGTGTGTGCGGTAGCCGGGGACCCGAGTGGAAGCGTTTCGTGATCAAGCCAAGGCAAGCGTGGGAAGCCAGACTAGCCTGGGAAACGCCAGGGCACGGCAGGGCAGGCCGTCCAGACGGGACGAAGTCGGGGGAGGAAAGGAGAGAGGACGAGGAGAGAGAAAGAGGGAAAAGGGGAAGAGAGGACGGGATAGAGAGAGAAGGGAAGAGACAACTTCACCTGCCTCCTCCCCACTCACTCCCCCTCCTCCTCCTCCTCGCGCCTCTCTCCACCTTGGCCTCTCCACGTTATGGCCAAGACTCACGCGGCGGCGAGCGGAGGGGAGAGAAGAAGGAGAGATGGCGAGGAGAGAGAGAGAGAAGCGGCAGCAACATCGGAAAGTGGAGAAGCTAAACGGGAGGTGGGTCGGTGTTGGACAGAGAGCGGGAGAGCGCGGGGGAGAGGAGGGCAGGCGAGAAGGAGTTAAACGCCTTATTTTAAAACACACACACACACACACACACACACACACACACACACGTATTTAATTCCGAGCCGCCTCCGGCCAAACGGCGCCCTATTGCCCCGTACAGCAGCGGCAGTGTGACGGGCAAGGGCCCCGCCCGCCCCACCATGGGGGCCCGCGGGCCCACCCCGCGACTGGGGACACGACGTCACGGACAGGACATGTCGTCCGACAGAAAGGAAAGACAAAGTGTGTAGTACTCACGTTTGGTGCAGTAGTCTCCCTGCCAGCCCTCGTTGCAGACGGGCTTGCCGGCGGCCGAGCAGGTGTAGTGGCCGAACGCGTCGTCGCGCGACCGGCAGAAGTTGGCGCAGCCCGAGCCGAAGTAGTGCGCGTCGCAGGTGACGCGGAACTCGTAGAGCAGCGCCGCGTTGGGCGTCTGGTGCTCGTCGCTCGTCCAGCCGGCGCCCACGTCCAGCCAGCGCTGCGTCGTCAGCCGGGCGATCAGCGTCTTGGAGTTGCCTGCAAACACATTCATTGCCCATTGCATTCCCACAATCTCAAATCAATTCCCTTCCTCCTCTTCCTCCACCTCCTCCACCTCCTCCTTCCTCAACCCCGCAGCGTTGCCAACTTGCGCGGCTAAATACCGGCGCGCAACAGGCCAGTATGCACGCCAGGCATGCACCCCACACGGTCCATGACATCACTCGCAAATATTTACTCTTCCTTTTATTTTTTTGAACGGGTGGCGAACACGGCCCCACCGGCGGGCGGCACCACAGCAGAAGAGCGAGTTGTGCTTGCGCCGCCCACCACCACCACAACGGCCCGAAAAAAGCTGCTCGAGGCCCGCGGCAGATATCGCGCTTTATAGAACAGCACTCTCTCGCGGAGGGCCGCGCATGAGGAGTCGTCCACCCGTAATTGCGCCCGCCAAACAATAAGAAAACATAACGGCCGAGCAGCAGTGTGTGCGAGAGAAAGAGAGAAGAGGTGGGAACTCTCTGCGCGCCCGATGATAACCGCCGCGAGCTCACGGGGTGGGGTGGGGGGCGCTTACGTCCGGCCCCCGTGCGCGGGGG